ACTGAATCTGTTTGCTTTCGGTGACCAGTGATATGCTATTTGGAATCCCACTGATAGGACTTCCAGCATCATCACTTGAGCTGCCACGGTATGACAAATGGACCGACAAATGTGGTGTCAAAACTTACACCCTCGCAACCCTATGGGGCAGCTCTACTCTGTCTCATGGGGCCGTGATGAGTCCGAATCTGCTCAACAGTGACCGTGTGTGTTTGGGGGTGTCACGAAGGTCCAAACACCTTTCTTGAAGCATTACACTTCCAGGTTTCCAACACTTCCTGTTGTGGGAAACTAACATTGAGAGAAATATGACCAGGACTGTATTCCCTGACTTACAACAGATGGAATCTGGAAAGCTAATATTCCACGGTAGGAAAGACACCACTTTGGTAAGTTAAAGTCCAAGTCCATGATCCTGCTTTAAACAGCGTTCCCACAGACTCTCCCCTTCTAGCTACGTTGCCTTAAAGTGAGCACATGGTTGATTCTGTCTCCCTATAGAAGCAGACATCCTTTGGTCATCTCCTCTGCACCCATCCCCCCCTCATGCCTTCCCCCAGTGCAGGCATTAGGTTTCCTCACCTGTCAGCTCAGGGGCTTTACTGTGATGACCACCCACCTTGTGACATACGTAACTCCTGAATATGCATGTCTTACTGGCTACTTATAAATGTCCCAAGACAGTAAAGACCCCCCTCTCCTCCCCTCGTCTCCCACCTCCATGTGGACCACCAAGAGGGGCTGAGGTGAGCATGCGACCATCAAATGTGTCTGACTCCTTTAATTTTATCCCCTCTCCTATCTTCTATGACTTTACTATGATCTTTATATATTCGATCCGTACAATTGCACCTACGGACCCCGAGGTTGTCAGAGGCTGGTTTACTGTGACATCCTATGGAGTAGAGAGCACCTGGGCAATGGAAGCAGAAGCAGGGGGTGTATCTCACCTGAGGCCCCAGAGAAAGCAAGAGGTGGGTGCGATCGAGGCCCGTGGTCGGTCAGAATCAGAAGTACATACCCAGAGGCACCCATTGGCCTTCTGGGAGGATCACAACTGTGGGGCAGTGGGACATTTGGGGGCAGAAGCTACGGAGGAAAGGAAACTGGAAACTCACAGTGGCTCCTTGAATGTCACATCCGTGTTGTTGGTGATCTCTATCCCTACAGTCCTCGGGCAGTCCACGTCCTCCTCGGTGACCCCTTTGAACTTCCGGGGCTCCCTGAGATGGGGTCAAAAGATCTGGTGTTCATTTAACAGGGATTTCTGGAGCCCCATTGGGCCCTCCATAGATCAATGTCAGTTGTTAGGAGACACCCGTAGAGTGACTGACAGACCATGGGAGTTTTTCCATGGCTTGTTTGAAGCCCCACAACCTTGCATTCTACAAGATTACCTTAAAAAAGAAGGCATGTATATGCACACCCACGTTCACCGAAGCATCATTCGTACAATAGCAAGATGATGGGAGCCGCCTCAACGCCCATCGGCAGAAGGAGGGATGAATACACTTTGGTATCTAACACCCAAAGCGCTGCTACCCATCGTTAAAGAGCAACAGCACCATGGTGAAGCACCTCACGATGTGGATGGGCTCGGAGGAGGTTATGCTGGGTGAAGTCAGTCCAAAAAGAAAAGGGCACGGACCGTGTGAGACCACTGTTGTTTGAAAAATCAAGTCGAGGTTTTCATAGGAAAAAGAATAGACTTTGACAGTTACTGTGGCCATGGCGTCATCTCATGCCATCTTGAAGATATAGAAGAGTCTCGGGGTGATATTCAACCTGTGAGTCTGGTCACAGCCTGATGATGCCTCCTTGTGGGTGTGGCCTTCTCCTAAGGAGGGCCTTGGGAATCTCCCCTTGTCTCTCTGTTTCGCTTTCCTGCTGGCTGACCCTAATTGCCGCCATGCATCAGCCAGTCATTGGATCCACAGGGCTCTGCACACACCAGCCTGTGATCCCCCTGCATTCTGCATCATTGCAGAATGATGTATGAGCCTGAAGAAGGGATTATGGACTACTATCGGACTGATGGGACTGGGCTGGGATGTTTTCCTGATATATAATGACTTCTTGATTTAAAGCCTTTTCTTACCCATGTAGTAGTGTCACTGGATTCGTTTCTCTAGTCAATTCAGCACAACACAATTTCCAAGGGTGGGAAAGGAAGGGTGGAAAGGAGATGTAGAAGGCTAGCAGTAGACGGTAGACAGTTAACTTTGTTGAAGGGGAAATAATATACTACAAGAGGGAGATGGGGAAAAAAGGGGGTGACAGAGCCAACTACTAGGAGGTTTGAGACATTGTTTATAATAGTGAATGCAAAACATGATCTGATATGTAAGCCCTCACCCAATCCACAATTAAAAAAAGAAAAGAGAAAATAGATAAGGAACGCTATCAAAAAACTATAAAATGTGAGGAAAATATATACACGAATGATATCATCAAAATTACGAGGACCCTTATTCATAACAACTCACCTTTCCTATGAGAGAAAGTAGAACTTATTCAGAAAACAAAAAAGATAAA